CCCCTGTAAGCACTGTTAGACACAGTAAGACAAAATGGGATTTGTCTGATACTGTATGTACACATTTTCAAAGGAAAAGTGTGCATGTTCCTCATCCTGTCCCCCTCCACTATCAAAACAGCATGTAGGGCTGCAATATTAATGTGAAGTTCATCAGCCACTGAAAATTTCAAATGAGGAAGGAGATTGCAAATTGCAATATCTTGCAATTCCAAATTATTTAAAACAAACATTACAGATGTCATTAGACCCTTGTATTGCAACAAGACTGGTCTGATCGCACAAAACCAATGAGATGTAGTCTCTACTAGTGGCTATATATGAGCTCCTGTAGGTCAATGAAATAATGCAGCAGATAAAAAGAAAATATACAGACTTGTCTGTTGACAGAGGTCTCAAAAGCAAGACTCTGACATGATACTACAATAATGATAGAAAGAAATAATGTGGCTTTGCTACAGGCATCTGTCCTGTCTTATCTGTCTTCATCACAGGCAGCACTTTTCCCCCACGGGGATATTTCAGTCATTAGGTGCTGAACCTGTTGCAGTGTAGAAGCCCCAGCATTTAAAACTGAGCTCTGCCTAAACACAGTAAGAAAGTAAAATGGTCAGGCTTATCTCTGGCAACACGTTCAGAATGATAAGAAACAGGGTTGGATGAGGAGAGGATCAGAAATCTATTCGAATGTCAGGAACACAATCAAAACCTGGAGGTTCAATTGTGTAGACATGTGTTCTAACACCAAACAGGCACGCATACAGTACCGAAAGTACTCTTTAAGATTAATTTAATCTTTTAAAGAAATCAAAGACAACAAGAATGCTGACACCAGTCCTGGTGGAACTGTTGCAAAGCATCATGAGGATAAATATTCCTGAGAGGCTCTTCTAGATAAAAAAGGGTTTATTTCCCTCTCCTGAAATGAGTGACGCAACACTAGCCTCTTTATAGCTCGTGAAGCTGAAACAAAAACCTCATGCGTCGAAGAGCTTACTTTGGAAAATCAGGAGACAGTCTGATTGTTTTGGTTAAAAAAAGCTAATAATATTCATGGATGTCCACATGAAATTCAAAGTAATGCTTTAAGGCGTTCTTTTTCTGGATCTGTAGCTCGTTATTCCCACTGTAAACAGTTGTGCCTCTGCCTTTTATTGGTAAGGCCACTCTGCCAGCTTACAAAATGACAGGCATTTTTTAAAAACTCAAAGGGCATGTAAAAATAAATACAACTAATCACCCAAAACACTGTAAGCCGCTGCTCAGGCAGAACAGCAAAGACTTTAACGACACCGTGTACACTCTTATCTCCCCTGTCCTCACATGCCCATCCCCGACTTGAAAAAATCATGAAAGCGATGCATGTCAAACAAGGCAGATCAAGGTCATGCACCTACCAGGCTACAGCTGCATTTGAAAAAAAACAAAACAGAGCAACAGAACTGGCTTTCTTGGAAGAGCCACACTTGTCTTGGCTATGAAACAGCTATTGTTGGCATCCATGTGAAATTTAATGCTCAGGAACAAGCCAGTGGAAATCTGATGTGTGCTCTCTAAGAGTTCCTACCGGCTTTGCCAAGGCTAACCTTCTGTCTCCCCTGCCTGCACTTCTCCATTACGTAGGGCAATAGCTTCTCAGAGCTGTGATTGACGAAGCGCAGAGCTCAACGCGACAATCCGACAGGCTAGGTGTGAGCTCCCGTTATCGACTGTGCCTATCTAAGGCCATTTCTCTGCATTTGTGCCAGGTGAGCATGGGTTAGGCTGTGTGAATGATACTGAATAAACAAAAAGAGACACAAAGATAACACCACTGGTGGATGAGATTGGGAATGATACACAAATGCCATATGCTCAGGAGGGATATGACACGATTGGAGACATCCTTCCGGAATTAAGAGTTTAAGAACCATTTTCTAATCGTTTTTTTTCTTACGTTCCTGACACATTGAGATGAGGCTGGGTTTTTTCTTTGGCTCCCTTCGTTTTGGCACAGATTTCAATTTGCCGTGCTGATGAAGAATTACAGCTGTAAAAATAAAAGCTCCGCAGAGGAACTTGCTAAGCTAACTTCCAGGAACTTTACAGGGTGTGAACTTGTTACAGCAGTTGTCACGCCATGTCCGATTAACTCTGCACAAACTGTTTGGCACAAATCTTCCTCATGCAGCTCTACATTACATGGGCCACCTTTGTGGAGATAGAGGTTTAATTAGAAAACAGCAAAAACTTAGTTCCTTTAGGTACCAAGCCCCACACTTACTAACAGACCTTATAAGCTTTCACCTACTGAAGCAGTCCACCAACAAGATGCATATATAACCTGTTATAACAGGCATGATCACCAAAGCGTGCTGTACACAGCAGGTAAGAAAGGTGACTGATACATAGTGCTAACTGTACTATTTGTAAAATATATGATAAATCTGCAACCAAACAAGGAATACACAGTCCTCATATAAAAATTGATAATCTGAAATCACAACATAGCACCAGCTACATGGATCTGAAGAATGACAAGGAAAAACAATATGCAATACATGCTTTGAAACTGAGAATGATAAGATAATCAATAATTTTCTATTTGCCATTTGGTGCAGGGACTGTTGCTTTGGAAAATGATTTGTTCACACACTAAATAAATGAATACAAATCAATAACATGTCAAATAAATATTGATTTGCAGTCCTTCTGCCTGTGACAAGGCACAATAAATTTTCTCTTGCATGTAATTAAAGTGTAAATAGAAACTGGCAATTTCTTCCTCAATAACAAAGTGAGTGCAATAAACTCATTTAGAGGAAAATTAAAACCATGCACTAGTGCCAAACTCTCTTTATACAGAGCTTAATCAAAAATTATTTTAAATACTGAAATAGTTGAATTTTGGTTTGACTGCCTCAATTGACATTTAAAAAAAAAACATGTTGTTTTGTGCTCTTCCGTATCATTATCCGTTACTAAAATGTCTAATTTCCTATTATCTCCATTTAAAAACTAGGAGACCAGACTCCAACAAGAGTACTTCAAGTACAGTACATTCCATTTACTGTATACAGCCTGTTTCTCACCCAATGACCACTACTGGCGTATTATTAAACCTCAGAAAATTAGCCTCTATTTTCAGTGTCATCTGCCAGTCGAGAAAATTAAATCAGTCTCTAAGCCACAAAAAAACAAAACTCACATTTTTCAGAATTGCCAGATTAGCATCCTCAGTGTGCACAAAATAATTATTTCGTTCTACGGCTTCTTCTGATATAGCCCTCCAGGTTTCTCTTACAATTCTACTGTTTTGCAACTTATGCTTTTTCCAAGTTTCTAATTCAGTCTTCAGTACCATTAATAAATAATCTAGAAGCATGACATTCATGTATTCTATTAGTCCACACCTACGCAGATGTTTAAGAAAAATGTCTAGGTATGGTACTGTACAGGGGAGCCCATAAATTTTGCATGAGTATTATTGTAATAGCAAAAGTGCAGTAAATGTCTCAGCCTGTAGTGTATGCCTATGAATCCGGCATTTGATTTCACCAAGGCCTTTATGATACACAGTTTATGGAAATCCAATGTCATTCCTTGCATTAAAACTTTGCCATTAAGAACATGTGTCTGACTGTCACTTTTCCTAATGAAACCTGTCACACTGTAGACAAGGAGAGAGAAGATTTAAGACCACCGGGGGCTGTGAGCATGGACACAGAACTGAGGCTTGAGAAATGTTCCCGTCAAAACAGGTATGAAACACACTGGGACACCTTCTGCTCAAAGCGATTCAGTCGACTCACAGAGTCACACCTGTCAGTCAGGGCCAGTCTCATACACAGAGCCAGCAACCACATGGGGAGATGAGCAAACTATTTCAAAGGACCGAAGGCCTTCCTGTCAACACCTGTAGCAAATCATGTGCAATACAGGCAAGTAGGGCAATTCCATTCAAGCTGCTCATAATAGCTTATCAGGACAGAGCATATCCTGGTGTCTAGACATGAAACAATCATGCTTGACTGGACTCCATACATGGTTCCTCCCCTGGATGGGACACCAGTCCACCACATGACCTGCCCCTTGCAATGCTGGCCGCCTGCTTACACAGGTGGGTGGACTGGAGCAATCCGAGTAAAGAACTTCACTCAAGAGTAGGAAGGACAGCAGTGGTCACAGCAGGACTTGAACCTGCAACCCACCAGTTATGAGTCCAGAGACTCCCCCACTAGGCTGTACAGCTCAAATCTGGTGGACATTAGGCACTTCGAAATAAAATGTACCAGATGGATTGGCATATTAATTGAAAAAATATATTCCTTATTATTATTACATTAACCAAACTGGGTTGGTTAACACTGGACATTGCACAACACTGCCTAACACTCAAAGACGAAATGTAATGAATAAACAATGTAAATATTTAAAATGATAAAACCCTCGAAGATAAAATTGATTACCTTTCTTGTATCATGTAGTATTGTATTAATCACCCCCCAGTTTGGGAATTGAAAACTGACTTGGGCCCCTTTTAATCTCATAGATTTCAAATTGAACCACCAGACTTCTTTCACATAGCCTACAGCAGGACCTCTGGGGAGAAATGCCTTTTCTTTTGGCTTAAGCAGGACTTTAGATTAAATAAAACCACCACTGTAATACAGTTTAAAAAAAAAACAGGGAGCAGATGTATTTTAAAAAGCTACAGGTGCTGTTAAAAAGGACCTATGTTGTCTTACAGTGACTGTCTAATGCAAGAATTCATTCAAGACTGCTGTGATCAATTCACAGAGGAGCAGATAACAAGCCCACAGAAACAGTAAGGACCCGAATGATCTGCTCTGCTTTAGTGAGGATATATTTTCAAAGCCATTACCACCAAGCCATAACTAGGCAACAATACAGCAGATGGCTAGGTTCAGCTAATTTCAGAACAGAAAGTCATCTGTACGTACGTATATGCATGATATTTTAAACAGTCTCATATCATAAATTTAGAGTAACAAAAAGAGGGGGTTAGGAGATGTTGAAGCGGGGAATGTTTGGACTTTCAGACGGAGGAATACAGACAAACCATTCAGGGTGCTCGTTTCTATTTTATTATTGACTTCCAGCCAGTTGGTATGGAGTTAAATCCCAGCAGGACAGAACAGGGGGGAGGGGTGGGAAAGTCTAGAAGTCCGCAGCGAGTTTTTTTTTTTTCCCCTCTTCCAAGTCGCTTCTGCCTAAAGGCTGCGAGTGAATGGGCTGGAGCTACAACGCCTGTCAGTTAGAGCACGTTTCATTCTGCCGCAGATGATCTCTCCCCAGCAGTTCCTTAAATAGATTTCAGCACAGCTGTGTGGAAGACCAGCCGCGGCAGCTAGCAATTGCGGGGCGGATAACAGCCATCAGATGGAATTTATACCAGACCGGTGTGCGTGATCTTCGCTTGAAAGCGGTGGCTTTCCTTTTCTTCCCCCCTTTCTCCAGAAACATTAAACGTGTACGACTCCGAGACAAATGCCGATTTCATGAACGGCACGCAGGCGGTTTGTATTTGTTGAATGCGGAGCTCGGGGAACTGTCCCGGGTGCTGAAAACCTTGTCCGTCTTGTTTCTGCGGCGTCTTCGACTTCGGACTGAATGAACTGTGCTGCGGGTTTGAATTTAGAATAAGGCAAGACGAACACTGAAAATATGAATGCGGCCAGCGTCTAAGTAAATACACCTGTCTCCGAGTAAATGGAATTTCACATTGTCCTGACAGAATGTAAAAATTCCTTGAAGGATGGAGAAATATTTCCCGTCGGCGGTGTTGCTTGTCCTTTGCTGTCTCGGTGCCTCCTGGGTTGATGCCGGTAAGTTTAAATTCACTTAATATGCTAATTTAAAAATCTGATGGAGGATAAGGGTATTGGACCGGCACCGTGGCAAATAACAAATATGTACAGCTTCAAAACTGTATAGGCGAGCCCACATCATAAACGTTACTAAACGCGATTGTATGTTCTTTAAAAAAAAAAAATTCCCCAATAAAAGCTGTTGATTTGTGTAAGCTAAATGCGACTGCGTCTGGATATGAATTCGTCAATACCTCACTTGTTTGTGGGTAATTAACGTTCAGAATCAGGATTCATCTCGGAACAGAGATGTGTTCTAATTATTCTATAAACAGTATTGTAAATAATTATTATGCAAATTCAGTAAATGATGCTATTTGCATTGAGCAAGTATGCACATTCTTAGGAACCAAAACATTGTCCAGGACATTAATGTTTGATTCCTGAGCCTTTTCCTTTACACAGCTTCATCTCTTGTTTTTAGGCTCCTGTATAGTTAGCTATGGAAAGGCTGTTCGGTGTTGTTCCAAAAATCCTATAACACTCTCCACAAAAATCATCCAAGTTTTGATTACTCTTTAACTTTTTTTTTCCCCCATTTAACATCACCTGGCCTTCATGCTGCTCATGTTGTGAAGGCCCTTGCTCCATTGGCCTTTTCATGTTTCAGATAGACTTTCCCTACACTGGCTGTACAGTTGGGGTCATTGTCATGTTGAGAGATGAACCCCTGGCCGAAGAGACACCATTCCTTACTACAGGCACAGTGGGTCAGAATGTGGCTTGATCTGCCTTCAGAGGGGGTACCTCTCTCTTCATATCCCAGACACTTTGTTAAAATGCATTTTTCATTGCCTCATTCTTTACTGAAGCTTTTGTACAAAGTCATACCGCTCTGTAGTCAGCCTTGAACAACTACTGACGGTTGTTTCCAAACCTTTCGCAGCAGAAGCTTATCCGTTTCATTTCTGTTGCCCGTTTCAGGGTTTTTTTCCTCTCCTTAGCTAAGGTTTCAGAGCAGCTGCGTGCCTATTCTGGGCCAATGTCTGTCTTACTGTGTTCGAGTCAACATTAACACTTGTATAGGCAGCAAGGTCATTCGCATGATCTGTAGAGGTTACTCATCTACCATGCATGGAGTTTCCTGTATGGACGTTCACATCACTTTTGGCTAGTTTCGTTTGCTTCCTGGCGGCACGGCGATACCGTGGGAAGCCCTACCTACCTTGCAGTGCTGCGGTCTGGGATCCAATTCTAGACCCGGGGTAGAGATTGCATGTTCTCCCCTCATTCGTGTGGGTTTCCTCTGGGTGCTCCTGTTTATTCCTGCAGCCCAAAGGCATACTGGGAAGTGAACTAGCTTCTGAGAAAATTGGCCCTGGTGTGTGTCTCCGTGTCTGTCTGCCCTGCGATTGACTGGTGTTGCTTGCTGGGATAGGATGTGTCTCCCCTGTGACCCTGAATTGTAAGAGGCTGTAAAAAAAAAAAATGGGATGGAGGCATAGTTTTCCTCCTCGGTCACTGGTCAGACATTCTCAACAGGTGTACAGCAAGCCTGATTTTGCTAAAAGGTCAATGTGTGTGCGCGCGTGCCATATGTTCTTTCCTTTCTTAGAGCTATTGTGTTTATCACAAGTTTCACACTCCAGAATCTTTGTGCTGGTTCAGCATTATCATCATCAGGCAGACAATCACATTGTACCAGAACAACATAATAACAGCATGATATACTTTTGTAGTCAGGTTCCATAACTCTTTCCAATACTCTATGTACATCAGACATCTTGTTAGTACTAAGAACAAGTAGTATGTGCTAAACGAAACAGCTTGCATCTGTGTTCATGATTGGGCTGTTTTGTTACTGAATTTTAATGTTTAGCCGTTTTTCCTTCGGTTTTCACGAGCGCCTCTGAAGCCATTAAGCACCAAGACTGATTTGAAATCTATTCATTTGATACTGTAGTTAAAACCTGGAAGCGGGTGGGGAGCCCTAACTCTCCCAAAACGTTCGGCGAAGGTTACTGCAGGTTCTTTCCGTTGTTGAGTTTTGCAATATTTGAACGCGTTTTCCAATTGTGTCTTGCAAAGTTAATATGTGAAGCCGCAGCATGGATTTTGATTCTTGCAGGGAATAATGAAAAGCACGTTGTCGTAAGGGGGAAAAAAATCGGTCTGGACCCCACCCTTGAGAGCTCTTATCTGACGCGTGTCGTAGCTGAGGAAGGTTGAATGCCGATAAGTGGAAGACAGGAAGGACACAAACATCATCCAGTTATGCGCTTAAAGCCGAGCCGAGGGGTGTTGCTCGACTGCCGAAAAATGACAACAAGTAGAATTATACCAACGCATATGTTTTATTCTGCATAATTACAAGGAATAAAGCTCAGAAAAGTTCATTTCGCCCGAGTTCGCTTCTGCAACAGTGGAATTATTTTCACGCGCACTTACAGTAACACTTGAAATTTAACTTCGACTTCATGTACCGTAATAACACTACAAAATATGGAAGTAACGTAATGTAATGTTCCCATTTGTACCTATCACTTGGATCCTTAAAAAAAATCTGAAATAAGCATTACAATGGACATAATCTACCAAATTAGATTATTCTTCTATTATGAAAAATAGCCGCGAAGTGAAAAAAATATTTTACGGGAAAAAAGCGCCACAGAAAAAAACAATTATAAAAGATTTCTTGAATCACTAATATTTCTCAATGCACGAGAAAACTAAATGTCGTAACAAGCGTCAGAGCGTTTAAAATTCAATATGTTTTATTTCTGTTTATTATTAATATGTTAATATTATTTGTGATTCCATAAAAGTGCTTTGGTGGCATTTCCCCCCGATTATAACAAACTACAAATTAAATGTTTTGACTAAAATAACTTTTTATTTTTTACAAGGAACAGCGGCAACGGAAGAGCTGATTTAAGTACCGAATCGCTACGTTTCTCGACAGCAGTTTTTTTTTAGATTAAACTTTAATCCAGAAATATACTTACGGTACCCAAGCCCACGCTTCAGTCCTTAAATCCATGGCGCCAGAAACAATACAGCCTAGTCTGGCCGCATGAATTGGTGATGAAAGACGAAGCGCGGTTCTGAATTACATATCTGAATGGAAACAAAACGCAAACTTGAACCTTTTAACGGCTGCGCGTCGTCCTTTCTTTTACACACCGGTCTGCAGACTTCAAGCCGCCTTTTCCACCCTGTCGTTGAACCGTAAACGTGTTGCAGGTGCAGCCTTCTTTTAATTGAGCCCTGATAGGGTTTGCCTCGGTCCCCCATAATTGATCATTGAACCCATCTGTTGCAGCCGCCTCACAAAACAAGAATAATGGCACTGACCCTTCAGATACAGCAACGACCTGGCTGGGACCACGCAACTAGGGGAGATCAAATACAACTCCCTTTTTATAAGTGACTTGTACAGTGCCTCCAGGTATTCGCAAATACATTTACGTTTTAAATAAGATTTTTTTTAAATCTCTAAATATTATTAATTGCAGGCAAAGTGTGGAAGGCAACTTCCAGAGCGAGCGAACGCCGTTTGGTCCCAGTTTTCCCTGTTTCTAAGACGCTGTGTCTTTAAAATGTCGTAGACATAGTGTGCAGTATGTACAGTGTATGTAACCAGTCTGGCTAGGAAAATGGTAACCAAAAATCCTGGACATGTTGGTACTGTATGTGTGCCTTTACAGCCCCGAAATAATGTTTTTGTTAGGAGTTCCTAAGAAAATCCCATTTTAAACCTGTACTTCATTTGTAATATACTGTACCTGTGTTGCATTAATTATAGCAGTTTGCAATCAATAGCAGTAATATAGATACACACAGTACTTTTTTTCCTCAAAAAAACGTATAGCTATATATATTACTTGCTAAATTACCTGCTCTACAACCCAGATGTCTGAAGATTTTTAAGTCACCTCAGTTTTGACATAAATTAAAATTAAGGATTTTGTCAGGGTTTCCTGTGGCTTGTTGGGGAGTTTGAATTGAAAGGGTTTCCAGAGGAGAAAGATAAAGCAGGTGATTGAATTGCATTTTATGCCAGCTCTTTTTTCTTACGTGACATGGTTTAAGAGTGTCATGAATAAGGCTATCTACACTCCAATTAATCTCCCGCGGCAGCAGCATTTGTCTGATTAGGGAACATTCCGTGATGAAGGACCTCATGTATTTGCTGAGGGCTTTTTAAAAACAGGCAATGGAACTAACAGAGCTCACAATTTCATCATTACAGCTCAATAAAGACGGAAATAATTTCCTATTCAAATGCCCTATTGTCCCACACTCTTCCGAGATACCAGCGGTTCTGTGCTCTGACCTTACTAACCATAACAAGGATATTCCAGAATATTTAAACATTTGTCAATGATACAACAGCAAGATTTTACCTTTTTACTGTACTCTGCCTTGCAATAGCAAATTCATTCTCCCTGCAGAACACTAAAGCAGATTAAAATAGCACAGCGTTTGTTAATAGAGAGGAGTTACTTTTCAATTCATGACTGTGCTACTTTTTGCTGCAATAAATCTATTTTTCATATTTCAGTATTTATACACTCGATGCATCCATGGGTAGCAGTGGTTAACTAAAGATCTTATACTAATTTGAGTTTGTTATAAGGCAAGACAGCATGATGAAGTCTGTAACTCTAAAAGCATTGCAAAACAAAAAGCAACCAATACAGTATAAGTCCAGAACCGAAGTTCAAAACGTGCAGTCAACCACACTATTTTCCCCATGAGGTTACTGCCAAAGACAACCAATTTTAGAACTCTGACCTGGTCAGGGGATCCCTTAACACTCTGAGTATACTGCCTTTGCAAAGCACAAACCTGCAGCATGGAGCAGAGAGCTAATGATATATGATATATATAGTATATGATTGGGCAGGCAGAGATTCTATTACTGCTGGAACAGAATGCAACAGGCAGTAAGTATTTCATAATGTCATTTAGTAAATTCAGATTTAGCTGTTAGTACTTTATAATGCATATATAAA